GGAATTTAGCTGTGTCCGCAGTGCCTTTGGTCAGCTGCAAACCTCAAGCAAGGCGGCACTTGTGCGATGCAGTTGGCTACAGGTAGGGCAAGACAACACGGAAGGGGCGGAGGTTGAGGAGGACAGCATGGTTTTCCTTTGTTGCAACAAGAAGGATTCTGATAGTAGCAGCAAGGTCGTCTACACCCACAATCTGTAAAAATTACTAGAATTTTTGATTTTTTCGTTCATGAAGGCAGAACAAGCTTACCTCCTCCAGGACACGCCATTTGGCAGGGGCTTCTGTTTTGATTTCCACCACCGCAGCATTGTACTGGAGGCTCTGGTGGTGGTGGTGGTGGAGGAGGTGGAGGCGGGGGTGGAGGTGGAGCTGGTGGAGGACAGCATGTTCGAGGCGGTTCAGGTGGTGGCTGTAGTTAGAGCGCAGAAGCATTCAGTAGTTTATATAAATTGCTAGAGATCTCCCACCGGTTGAGAGGCTCCGCCTTCATGCTCTTCTTCTTCAAACTCTGCACGTTGACCCCGAAAAAAATTTCTCTTGCGAAAAGGATTGATTCGTAGGAATACAAGTAATAAGTCAATATTGAAATCGCTATCGTACCTGCAGCATGGTTTAGGGCAGCAATTAGGGACGGCTGGGCAGCAAGGACCATATGCTGGTTGGCAACAGGGTTTTGGGGGTGGAGGAGGCGGACAACACGCAAGTGGAATGGGAGCACTACCACAGCACTCTGAATAAGAGGCACTTTTTCAGGGTATAAACATTTGAGCGGGATATATGCAAATTTTGTTTCCTTGTGTAGGTAGTAAGCATGAATCAGAAAAGCATTCGTTGAATTGAAACATTGGCCTACTTTGAAATTGAATCCATTAACTCAATGTTATTTGTTCTGTTACTAGTACTCATCTTTATAGCATATGATTTTTATACACTCTCAGTTGGTCGCTGGGAATACTAGCATAGTTAACAGTAGTGGATGATGACTTGCTGTACTGATCTCTTACATAATATTAGGTTGTCAAATAAGATTGCGCGTTCTCTTCAAACTCTAACCTCTTGAAGACTTGGAACTTCGACGATCATTATATGATGAGAAAGAACTCTGTGTACGAGGTATATTTGGCCTACAGTGACATCGACTGTGTCAAATGAGAAGTGTTAAAAATGAAAATTTGGAGGAACAAATTAAGCGACATCT